GAACTGACAGTCTGATTCTTCTTATTCTTCTTCTTCTTCTTCTTTTTAAGTGCCCTCCAGAGAAGTCTTGTAGATAATTTTTCTTATTATTATTCTTTTTTTAAGTGCCCTCTTGAGAAATGTTGTAGATATCACCACCGGTGACGATAGAAACGTTTATTTCCATCCTCAAACAGAACCTCAGAATAGTCCCTGCCCCTGTACGCTCAACTACACAAGTTACGGCACTCTCTAAAAATAGTATCGTGAAATTTAACAGTAAAAGTTTCACATCCCCATCGACACTCTGTAGATAACTTAGGAGGCGGGCTGCTTAACCCTATCCGTACGTCGTGTTTTAACCCTATCCATACGACGTGGGGAACTCGGTGCCACCACTTTCCAAGAGGAAATTTACCCGTTAACCCGATCCGTACCCTTTGCATAGCCAGTCTGTCAAAATGATTTTTTGAGAAATATTGAAAGTTTCAAAGAGATCTTCGTACTACAATGCAGAAGTATTCTGAAATGTGACGAATACAACACCGCGGGGGTACAAAATGACCCCAGGGGCGTACGGATAGGGTTAACCTTGCCTGTCACTGTCAGTACTGTCAGGGCCAGTGCGGGCTCATGTGGATACAATGTCTCAGGTGAAACACGGAGATACTCGGTAAAACTTCTCCCCAAATAGGAATCGAACTCACGCCTTCCGTGTGCGATGGCAAAGCGCAAAACAGCTACACCACAGACACTAGTATTATACTAGTAAAACAATTATATCGAAAGTGCAGCAGAATGTCTCGACAGGCAATTTGATGATTTTTCTATATTTAGTAGCTGAACCAGAGGGCTGAACAGTCTTGTCGTATGCGAATCTTTGGTTTTATAGCAGTATAAAACGGGTGTCTGAGGTTCAGGTGCTTCCTTGTCGCACGCTGGAGACCCGAGTTCGATTCCCGACAGAGGATACACACACACACACACAAACACACACACACACAAACACACACACACACACACAGCTTGTTTAGAAGGAGGAAACCTCGAGTAGAACTTCCATCTCTTTAAGTTTTAGTAAGGTTTTACGGAGCTCGCAACTGCATAAGGTCATAGGAGCGCCATTCCATCTCTGGTAAGAGATAGCCAAAGGAGTGGGGAGTCGTGAATCATTGTAGCGTGTGTGTGGGGGGGGGTATAATAATAATTA